AACTGGATAGGCCATTTAATAGGGGTAAAGGGGACCGCCAGAGATTTTATAGTGATTCACACCACTTGAAAAGAGAGCGACATGAAAAGGAATGGGAGCAAGAATCTGAAAGGCATAGACGCAGAGACAGAAGCCAAGACAAAGACAGAGACAGAAAAAGCAGGGAGGAAGGGCACAAAGATAAAGAGAGGGCACGGTTATCACATGGTGATCGAGGAACAGATGGCAAAGCAAGCAGAGATGGTAGGAATGTAGACAAGAAGCCAGATAAACCTAAAAGTGAAGACTATGAGAAGGACAAAGAACGAGAGAAAAGTAAACACAGAGAAGGAGAAAAGGACAGGGATAGGGACCACAAAGATAGGGACCACACTGACAGAACTAAAAGCAAAAGGTAAAATTTGCAGGCTGCTTCAGGATTACATTTAAATAACTGTTAAATGTTGTATCTTGTAAACAAAAGAAAGATTGCCTGCTAGGATTGTGCCATCTTTAAAATTTTTACTATTGGTCATTTGCACAACAGTGAATTCTGTGTGTTGGTGCAGAGTGTTCTGTACCAGTGCTCATCATCCCTTCTTCATACCAATTGTCCCTAGTTATTAGGAATTTAATATTTTTAAAAGTTTTACATTGCTGTATATTCAAAGATTTGTTTTATTAATATGCAATAAAGGCTTAGAAGTTTTAGTTTTATTCCTTAATTGGTAAATATGGTTAACTATGGAATATATTTACTGCCTCTAGTGAATGTCCTTTATATGATGACTAATTTGGGAGTAATGTGTGCTCTGTAAGTTTGTTTTAAATTGCACTGTTTTTAAAGAAACCGTAGAGGAGCAGCAAAAATCCAAGCAACTTAATAATCAGATTATGCTAATCATTTAGTTGAGCAGTTTTGACCAAGAATCAGAAGCCCAAGGGGTACATTTATTGCTTTAATCTGCACTCATTGAAGTCACTTATTACCATATACTACAGCTTTGTGGTAGGCCATTATTTTCATTTTTGGCTCTTCAGAAACTTGAATACTTAAGCTTGTACATGATCTTGTGTTTTCCTATCCTTTTTACTGTAAAATGTAAATATTTTAAGGGATATTTTGATTCTAAATATGATAAAAGAATTTCTCACCTATTTTGTGTGTGTGACTTGAAATTCAGCAGAAGAATTTCTTCTTTAAAGCTTTAATTACCTTCAGACATTGTTTTTCTCTTACTGAGCCAAGAACATATAGACTATCTATGTCAGGCATTAGATGAGAGGAAAAACAATTTTTTAAAATCTTAAATGATAGGCTGAGATGAACTGTGTAGTTCTAAAGAGGCTAGAATGTAGAACCACCTATGAAACACTGTGCAGCTATAGCCCACTTTATAGATAAGTTTCGAAAACTTTTACACCATCACAGTTTGGTACTCTGACTCATTAATGATTAAAATTTAAAACCACAGAACTTTAAGAGAAATGTGTTTTGAATCTTTTTATAAATGTGATTTAGCCTAGTTTGTATAGTAACTATATAGTTTCATATGCCAGTTTCACTTGAAAGCATATGAAGAGGCTATTGTTAATTCATATCTAAATTTATTTACATCCTAAAACACATGGTTTTGATGGCAATAATTTAATGCAGGAGGTACCAAATGATGTTGACATTTGAGACTGAAAAAACCCAAAAAACAGAAGAAAGAGAACTCAGTATATTTACTTACCTATATTAATGAAGAAAAATATAAATCCACAAAAATTGATTGTTTTCCTAAAGAACTTAAAGATTAAAGTTAAAAATTGGTTTTGAAACAGAATTATCCTTGTTTTTGCTGGAGAGAAGGGAGGAAATTCAGTACCAAAGATTCTATCTAATTTGCAGTGACTTGCAGTACTTTTTTCCCTGTCCTTGCCCTCTGGAATTTATCAGCAGAAAGTTCTGAAACAGAGGACTTGTATTAAAAGTCTGTTTAACTTTATCCACTTTCCTTTTGGAAATTAACTTGTTAGAAAACAAAGTTCCCAAACAAAACAAAGCCTAAGTTAGTCATAATATGCACCATTACCAAAAAAATTGCTGTCAGAGTTTTACATATTAAAAACAAAAATACTAGTTTTTCAATTTCAAATGTTTGTGTTGTCAGTAAATCTGCCTTTACTGATACATTTGAGTGAGGGGTTATCAGACACCAGATTTCTTTTGCAAAGTAAAAGTAAAAAAGAATGGGTTAATGAATGAAAACAAGCTTTCAGGTCAGTTTTGGATCACCTCTTAGCTAATAGTTTCTTCTACATACTGTGATGCTTACTCTAAGATTCTGTATCAGATCTTACTGAATCTTGATAGATACTTGTTCTTAAAATAGATAAGGCCCATATAGCCACCTGTTAGGGATGAACATCGGGTTAGAAGCAGATCTTGTAACCCCTGATTGACTGAAACATTGTGTGGAGAGTAGGAAAAGTATGATCATATGAACTATTTGAGGTTTTTCTTTTGAGGGAGAAAAGGGAAAATGAGAAAAGTTTTCAACAAGTAGCAGATCCAAAGCCATTCTCAGTCCCAGGTATAACCAGCGTTACACAAACTAGTGAATTAATGAGTTCATCTTTTAGTTTTTCCTGTTTTAAGAAAAACCTGTCCTTAAAGTTTTATACTTAAAAAAACTTAGAATCATCTTAAGACAGCTTACGCGTACCTCTTTTAGATAAAAGTACCAGGGCATCTTAGTACCTGTAAAGTTCACCCTATGTAGTATTTGTGGCAATAAGGAAGCCTTCATGAGCCCTCTGTAAGCCAACCCTAGTTGTGAGCACTTAATGTAAACGTTGGTCAGCTCAAAGTAAAGGCTTAGAGCTGAGGAAACTGGAACTTAGAGAGTTGGGAAACTTGCCTAGGTTATCCTGCTGTTGTCAGAGTTGGAATCCTAGCTCAGTTTTCTCTTTGCTTAGCAGTTGTGCTCTGAGAATTGAGAATGAGAAAAAGAAGCAAAAGCCTGATGATTATATATACATTTCATAGCTGTCTTTCTTTGCATTTTGCCAAACTGAGCAACCCGACTCCTCAGCGTGAGCCAGAAGACATAACCAAAAACCTATAGGTTCTTTTGTACAGATGAGCAAAGTTTATATTAATCACAAATCTTAATTCTCTAGTCTTGTTTTCTGTTGCTGCTGTGATGAATTACTACAAGCGTAGTGGCTTAAAACTGCACAAATTTATGATCTTATGGTTCTGTGGATCAGAAGTTTATGCAGATCTCACTAGTTAAGATCAGCAGGATGCATTCGTTTTCTGGAGGGTTTCAGGGAGATTCCTTTTTTTCCCCCTTGGTTTCTAGCTTCTAGAGGGGCACCCAATTTTCCTTAGCTCATATCCCTTCCATATTTAAAGCCAGCAGTGTGGAACCCAGTCTTTTTCTACCATCTCTGACTTTCCCTTCTGATTCCCTCTTCCACTAAAAGGACCTTTGTGATTACATTGACCTCCACCCAGATAATCCAGGGTAATCTTCCTATTTTAAGGTCAGTTGATTAGCAACCTAAATTCTATCTGTGACCTTAATTCCCCATTGCAATGTAACCTATTTACAGGTGTTCCAAGGTTTGGGATGTAGACATATTTCGGGGGTGGGGGCATCATCTACCACAGCCCTTGACTCTCTAATTGTAGCTTATATTGTGGGTGAATCTTAAATCTTTAAAATTATAGAATAGCTAAATCTATAGTAAATATATGTTAAAAATTTAGGAACAATTAACACCAGCAATAGAGAGGAAAATGAAGAGTTACGCCGTATTAACTATGTTAACGTAAAACTACTCATTAACAGGTAACTTTGTTGTTCCTAAGTTTTTAATAGTAACTGTTTTTAAAGTATATGAAGCAAACTTAAATGCATTATGAGAGCTTGATAATGAACCAGATCTTAGTAAAAGATACTTTAACATTTGGATATACTAGTTGTACTATGCTCATCTTCTAAGATCCATCTAAAACTGGTAAGGCTACTTACTCACTGAAGATTACAAAGAACTATAATGTAGTCACTAATGACTACAAAGAACTATATACATAATCAGGTTTGATTTCTGTCTCTTAAAGCAAATTGCAAATAGAATTGGTTATTGCTTTTAAAAAAGGTGCAGAACACCCTGATTCTTTGATTTCTGTTTTACAAAGAATTATAGTAATTATTATATAGAGCAAGAAGGTGGTGAGTTGAAAACAAAGATCAGTAGCTGGAAGTGCTTTGAAAACTTCAGTCCATCCTGGCAAGTTTAATCTTACAGATAGATATAGAGCAGTCATTAAGGCAAATAACAGCCTAAGCGCTTAAAGGGCATTGTGAATCCAATATAAATCCAAATATCCCCAAAATACTTTTTCTATGAAATAAATCAGTGTATGCGTGCGTGTGTGTGTGTCTATGTATGTATGTATGTATGTATATATATTAGCCCAAGCTGTCTTTTAAAAATATGCCTTAAGATTTTTTTTTCCAAAATAATGATTTTTTTCAGGAACTTATTTAAAAGGAGACTGAAAACTATTACTACACTTTTTTAAAAGTTCTGTGTACATTCAACAGTTTAAGAAACCTCATGACATTTATGGTAAAACCATCTTAAAGGTCCTTTTGTAGCAGTTATTTTTATTTCATACTGGAAAAGCATTTCACATAGGAAATCGTTAACACCATCATCACCAGGATAGCAATGACAGGAAGCAGGAATAATGTTAATTTGTTACATGAAATTTGCAGGATTTTAAGGTGAAAAATATATTTTCAAGTCATTTTGATTTATAGGAGGATAGGCAGCAGTTTTCAGTTCTTAAATATTGTGTGCTTATTTTGCAAGCACAGTTAATCTGCATTTGGAATTCAATGATGAGCAACATGGGAGAGTCCAGTTTTGTGGAGCTTCCAGGTAGAAGACAAGTTTTAAAATCTGAACATAAAATTGCAACTGTGAAAAGAAGCTTTAAGGCAGCAATTCCCAAAACTTGTTTTCAAGACCCCTTACACTTTTAAATAATGCCAAAGCTTTTGTTTATATGGGTTATATAATTATTTAGCAAACTAGAAATTAAAATGATAAACATTAAACATTTTAAATAATATCATTGGTTAATATAACATTTATGTAAAAGTTCCAAACTAATTTAGTAAGAGTATCACATTGTTTTCATTTTTGCATATTTCCAATTTCTGACTCAGGGCTGGATTCTCTTACCTGCTCTGCATTCAGTGTTTTGTAATATGTCATTTTATTTGAAATATATGAAGAAAATCTGGCTATATGTGCATTTGTTGTTGGGAAAGGGAGGATCTTTGGATTCCTTGAAAATATCCCGGGGGTTCTTGGGCCACACTTCAGGAAGTGCTACTTTAAAGAAAAGGCACACTTTATTATGAGAGAACACGTGGCCTAATATGGGAACATTTCTTCAAAGATTTTGTAACCTTTCATAAAGCAGCCTTCTTGTTTTATACATAAAGTGTGTTTTCTGAAAAGTTCGATTTGATTACCAGCTGCCGAAAGGAATTTCTTTAGAGCATTTATCTTTATCATCTAAGTATCTCCAAAGTTAAATGCAATAGTATGGACCAATACAAGTTTAGGTCACCGTTTTTCAGCAAAATTTGTTGGAGTTGTCTTGAATCGTTTCTATTAAAAAAAACCCTTGAATCAATGCGTAAACATTCTGCAATTCTACCTTATATTCTACCCGCACACTTCTAGTGTCAATAGGGACAGTAGGTTTGGAAGCAATTTGTGCCCTGTCAAATGGTGCCAACATTCTTAACTTGTGGTCCTAGGTCCTTTGAGGAATGTCTGTAGCCTTTTGATTGGAATGGAGTGGCTAAAATAAGACAAAAATCTGTAATATTTTTTGAATGATAAATTACCTAGTTCCTTTGTATAGGTTGGAATCTGCACAGGTATTAAGAAGTTAACTATGTATTAGCGCTTATTTTTTGTAAATTCTTTGATGAATAATCATATTTTTTTCTTTTTAACGCTACATGCTGCTTATTACTAAGATATTTTTTCTCTAGATGACCTGTTCTACCTGGTAATTCACCAAGTCATATGTTGCCAGTTGCCAGGTGACAAAATTGTCACAGATACCAAACTCAGAAAATGTTAGGTAACAACAGCAATAACTGCTTTCCAATCTGCAATGGTGGACTGGGAGTGGGAAGTGAAAATTCCACTCACAATTATATCAATAACTGATTTGGGCAAAATAATACTTTTTAAACTTATGCTTTTAACAGTACTAAATTGTTAGGACAGTAATTCTCAGTGGCATTGTTTAGAGCCTATTTTATGCCCAGTATTGAGATCTGTAGACTTGAAAGCAGTTAAATACAAATTAAGGTTAATTTTTTAATTTGATCAGTTAATATGAGTACATGGTTTTAAAAAGTCAAACAGCTCTACAAGGTTTATAAACAGCAACAGGCCTCTGCACTACTCTTCTCTCCACAGGCAACCATTTTCAATTCTTTTAGACATTTAGGATATTCGCCTTCATGTTTGTGATATGCATATACTATTTTTTAAAGTTGCACATACTGTAATATCTATTGATGTCTTACTATAAAAGATAAGGATTTAGCTCTTACCAGCCTGTTCACCTCTCTTTCTTTTCTACATTCATGCAATACTTTTGATTTATATCTATTTTCAAGTTTTACGTCATTGAATCGTATAAATAGTTGTAGCTAAGCCATGTAATATGGTTACATTGCTTTGTATAATTTTTATTTTTCCTTTGGTTAATAACTTGATTTTTTTCTTATTTGTACCTATCCCTAATTCATTCCCAACTGAATTTTAAACATTTTAAAATTCAGTTTACACAATGATTTTAAAATTTTATCTACATATTGATTTTAAAATTTAAACATGAGGGACAGGTACAAAGTGGATAAGCAAAATGAATAAGCACATTCCGTGAATAAGCATATTCCATGAGTAAGCTCTGAACGAATTACTGGAGTTAAAACATGAATCAAAATATATACACATAAATTAGATTGTAGGAAAAACACACAGATGGTAGGAAAAACAATGAGAACTTTCAGTGACATTTTCCAGTGTTAACAAAAAGATATGTTAGCATTTAGACTATTTCAGGTAATAGTAAACAGTTGATTCCCTGTGGGCAATGTACCAAATAAATAACTATCAATATAACTACATTTATATATAGTGTGTACTAAAATCTCTGGTGTTAACTTATGTAACCTCATTTTGTTCATCTCCATCATAAACGTTGTATCCTTCTGATTTAATTAGTTCAGTTTTTTTTGGATCCTGAAAAAACACAACATCTTTAATTTTGCCAACAAAATTGGTTTTAAAAATCTCTTGAGTAATGATATTTACCTTTCGACCATATTCAAAGCCCCCTAGATAACAAATACCATCATAGTTTAGAGCAACAAATTTTTTATGTGGATCAATATCTTCGGAAAGAATTAGACTGTTATTTAGGTAGGCCTTGATAAGAGTCTGATTTTGAATTACAACTACATGGTGCCATTTGTTACAACAGAATGTGTCATTGTTATAGCTCATAGGCACAGATATTCTTTCTCCTAAGTTAACTGCTATTTTCAAGGTCTGATTATGGAGACCAATTGCCAAAAAATCATTTTCTTCATTTTGAGCTATTCCCATCCATACAATGAGACCTTCTGTTTTGGTAGTACTGAAATTTAAGGATATAGTAGTGAACTGGAGGTTTCTCATTCTATAATTTGGATCAATATATTTAATGTAAGAATTACCCATAAATTTTGCAGTTGAAAATGAAGTTTTGTTTTCACAATACCTTCCCACCCAACCCAAAGTACATAGGCAACTGTAAGAAAATGATTGGTCGGGTATACATAAAGACTGGTGGAGGCAAAGATTATTCAAACAGTATACAGACTGGTTACATGTATTTCCAGCCCATTCTGGCAAACATCTGCAAGAAAACGTTGTGCCATTTGCTGTACATTTACCTCCGTTTCTGCATGTGTTGTACCCACAGGCTGTCCCGTCACAGTCACCTACATTTGAACCACCTTTTGCTCCAGATTCAGTTAATTGTAATTCTTGATTATTTATGATAACTTCCCGGATACAGCCTTGAAAACCTATGGGTTCATTTTCTATTGCCATGGGATTTATAAGATTTAAGAAAGATACCCCTCCAATATAGAAGTCTGTATTTGTGTCCAGGGAACTCATTTTAGTGGAGGCTTTTTCTGTAACATTTATCCCATCTAGATCCAGGTAGCCTTCTGCACCAACTCTTCCTGCTTTTATTATGTGCCAAGTACTTCCATTTGTTGTTACTTTTTGGAGAGTTTCTAGAATGATAGTTCTGTCACCAAGGTTGTATCGAAGTTGAACAGAACCATTCACTAAAGAGATACATAAAAAATCACCTGCAAGAAACCAAATAGTATGTTTAATTAGCAACAGTAAAAGTTTTCCATTGAAAACTTTTACTCTTTCTGGTCAAGTTGGGTAAGTTTTGGTTATGGGGAAAAAAGTAACATCTTGAGCACAATTGTGTTAGTTTTAGTTCCACTCACAGAGCAAAATGCATGTGTTCTGTGTTCTTTCATTTTGTTTAGCAATTGGCTACATAAATTTTCCCTAGATGTGGAAAGTTCTCATTGAATGAATGTATTGTGGTTGTAAATTAAAGTGAGGTTTTTCTTCAAATGAAAGCCTGATCTTTATGCCGCTGTTTAATGGCATTCACTATTGTCAGGCTAGGTACTTAAACTCTTTAACATACCTATAAATTCTCTGAACATTCCTGGCTCCTTTCCTCTCCAACCTTACCAGGAATGTTCTCTTTCCCCATCCTTACACTTTATTTACTTGAACAACACTGACCTTGTTAAGGATTTCATCTGCCTGTTTTCTAGGAACACTCCACCACCCCATTCCACCTCAACTAGGTAACTCCTACCCATTCTTCGGGTTTCAGATAAAATGTCACTTCCTCAGAGAAGTTTTCCTTGATTTCCCATAGTTGGTCAGGTATTTTTTCTGTCAGTGCTTTAAATCACTAGGTTTCCCTCCATTACTATATATCTCATTTTATAATTATATAGTCGTGTGAAGAAATTGGAACAAATACCATCCAGCATCTGAAGTTGCAGTGAGGCATTCAGAAGAAAAGTAAAGGCAACTCCACTTGCTCAGAAAAAGTGTGTTGCTCTTCAATGTAAGATTGCTTCAAGAAGATAGCAAAATGACTTATTTATTAATACATAATGAACCATGCAGATGTCTTCCACGAAACATTTTCCTCTCCCTCTGAAATTTCCCAACCTTTCTCTTTCCTCATCCAGGGACATTTGGCACTGTGCTACACTAGTTATTCCTCCTTCTGAAGTGCCATATTTCCTCACCTCCCTTCTGCAAATGGTGTTCTTTCCTATTCTCCATTGTGGTCTATACCAAGCCATTCTAGAGTGGTTGGAATACTTGGCAGCTCTGTAGTTCTTCACCTATCAAACTATGGTTCTCTTGCTTTATTTTCCTCATAGGGAATTTTTAGTGAGTATAATATGTCAATTACATATGTGATTATTTGGTTAATAGCTGCTTTATCCGCTAGGTTTAAGCTTTATGAGAACAGGGTCTGTTTCTGGTTTGGTTCAGTAGTTTATTCCCAGCACCCAGAATGCTATCTGGCACATAAATAGATGCTAAACAAATAATTATTGAATAAAGAAATACTTGTGTAGGGCTGTGGGTTGAGATGACTCAATATTTCCCAACTAATAGTTTTAGCTTGAAAGCAAAAACTTTTCCTATAATGGCATGAAAATTGTTTTAAAAATTCATAACAAAAAAAGTTTATTTGCATACTAATTTCTAACATGTACAGCATTTTTAACTATAAGGAAAGAGAAGGAGCGTCATGAACTTTCAGATTAGCAAAGAAAAGATATACATTGAGTTATACCACAAAAAAACTAGAATAAGTAAACATTATTGATACTAAGTTAAAAAAAATTTATAGCAACCTAAATATACTTTGTGGCCTGGAAGTGAACACAAGCCAGTTACCTTTCACAGGATTATGGAGCAAGCTTTTCTTGCTCCTTGTGTTATAGAGTGTTCCTGTAGTAAACAATTTTATAGTGAAGAGCTACCTTGGAATAAAAAATACCTAAGAAATGATTAGGAAAGCTGAAACTGTGATCTATGCTATGACTGGTCATGTTGCCAACCAGAAGAAAGAACAAGGAAAGCTTCTGTGAAGAAAGGTTATTTTAACTCGGCTAGTATGTTCATGTGCAAAATCGACAAAAGTTTTCTCTCTGGCTATGGAAACTAAAAGCTGTATTAACTTAAAAAAATCATAGGCTTTTAATTTTAGTGCATTAGGATATGATGCTGTAGTTATGGGTCGTAAGTACAGATTGGCATTATTATTTTGAGATGGAGTCTTGCTTTGTTGCTCAGGCTGGAATGCAGTGGTGCAATCTTGGGCTCACTACAACCTCCACATCCCGGGTTCAAGTGATTCTCCTGCCTCAGCCTCCTGAGTAGCTTGGACTACAGGTGCTGGCCATTACGCCCTGCTAATTTTTGTATTTTTGGTAGAGACAGGGTTTTGCCATGTTGACCAGGCTGGTCTTGTCCTTCTGACCTCAGGTAATCTGCCTGCCTCGGCTTCCCAAAGTGCTGGGATTACAGGCACCCGACCTCAGATTGGCATTAGAGTAAGAAAATGTAATGAAGAGTTGTTACAAGAAAGAGAGATCAAATAGCATGAAGATCATAAATGAATTCACTTTGGCTATTTAATGCCCACTCAACCATGGCTGAGGCTCTTCCCACCTCTGTTCTGCTATTGTTTCTACCTCATCACCTGCTATCCCACTGTGTTTTATTATAGAGAAAACTTATAGGACCTAATATTTGTGAAGAGACTACAGAATCAGCATATCAGGGAAATTGTATATACATTCTTTTCTGTAGACAATGAAAGCAAAGTAATTTAAATCTTACAGTTGTTTTGAGTATGTTTTAATTTCACATTGCAATGACTAGGACTTTCTGTACACATTAGTCTGGGAGAATTATAACTATATCAAGATGAATTCAGGCTTTAATTTGTGCTTAATTTATATATATCAAAAATCTTTTAAAGGTGTTACGTTTTTAGCAGAAATAAATGAAAAGAGGCCAGGGTCTTATTTCTTTAAAACATCTTTCAAAAGTCAGAGATCTGAAATCATCTCGTATACTTTTCAAGTTATTTTAGTTATTTTGTTTTAAATTTTACACTACTTGAGAGTACTCAAATTATTAATCTCTAAAGAGATAAACCACATTAATTTAGAATTTCATTTTGAAAATGTGAAAACTGCATTGGCTGCTTATGTTTAAATTTTTGGATTTTAACATTGCGTATTAAGTGGTTAGTTTTTACTAATGGGTCCTCTTAGCAGAGGATCAACTAGGAAGACTTGGTTAATGTTTACATCAGACACAGCTCTTAGAGGAAGTACAAAGTACAGGACTGTCAGCTGTGTTTTCTGCAGCCTTAAATGAGACAGACTTCAAATAAACTTGTTATATTACTTATTACTAAAAACATAAGTTTATGCCTTTCATCTGATAATTGTTTTTGATTAATCTAGGTTTAAGCATGTAAACATTTTTAATATTTTAAAATTTTCATGATCTTATATAAGTGTCAAATGCATCAATCGTGAAACTAATGAATCTCTGTAAATAGTGTCTGATGGCATAAAGGAAACTCTTGATTGTTATGAAGTACATGCACTGAATAACAGATGTAAGAGGATGTGCTCTTGCCCTCCCATGTGTATTAATGTGTATGAGCTTTATATTTCATATACATAAACACAAATATGTATCTATTGTACTGATTATAAAACTATAGTACAATATTTCTGGCCAGTCACAATCCCGAATATACCTTGATTTTCTGCTCTTTTCCATAGGTCTTGCTTACATTAATTTTGAGTTTTACGAGCAATGTAACTGAAGCTGATTGTCTTTTAATGTCTCGATTTATAAATAGAAAATTTCTCTTTGTGTGTGGTTCTCCTATTTGACATTTTCACAGGGAGATTTAATCATGAATTTAAAACCAAATATCATATCTCAGGAGAACAGATTTCTTCTAAGCTGTATTTTATAGCTCAATTATGCTTTTTTCTTTGAAATTATTTTGAAGGTATTTCAGAAGTGCATTGAGATGAAATCACTTTGGTCCAATTCCCTGATATTCTTATCATTTAGAAGCAAATCAAGACACTTCTATAAGAACTACTTAGATTCTGAAAATTAGAGCACCATTTTTGTTAATGATGTAAAATAAGCAAATGTAATTATTTCTCAATACCAAAATTGTTTCTCATTTTCTGAGAAACTGAAAGTCAAGTGTAAGATTTTAAAAATACTTTACAATAGAGATGTAACTGTATGTCCAAATGTCTTTGTCAGAATTTTGGAGAAATGTATGAAAATGGAAATCAAAGGTAAAGTAGTAAAACCTAAAAAATTAATTTTTAAAACACTAATTGGATACTTTATTTCATATTTTATGGTAAATATGTATCTTTTTAAGTTCCAAATGTTTTTATAAGCATTTCAGAACACAAATCCTGGGTTTACTATTTGGACGACAGAATGACTTAGAATTTTTCCAAGCTATAAATGTGGGTGAATCTACATGAAATATATCAGATAGCCATGCCTTCCTTTTAAAAAATCTTCTACATGCATATTTTGTCTACTCTGTCATAGGACTATCATGCATGGCTTTATTTTTTTTATGGGATTGTTTTAAAGTTCAGCATATACTTTATTTAGATTTTGCTAACTTTAATTCTAACAAATCTCTTGCTATTTTATTCGCTATATATTTAGGGCCTCTAAATTCATAAGCATACACTTGCAGTGTTAACAGAACATAATCAAATGGTTACATATTTAAAGACTAGGTAACACAAAATAAACACTATCATACATTACTTAATAGACTATTAGGAATTCATTAGGTTTTTTTTCCTCTTTCATTCTGCAAACAAACAGCCTGCCAATCTTACCTGACTGGGCTTTTAAGTGTTGTGCAGCGTAAAATAGGATACCATCTGCAGCAAGAGGCTGAAACTGCAATTGAATATGTGTCTTTTTTCGAACACGAAAGGAAGCAAAAGACATCCAGGATAATTCATTGCTTCTGAAAGATGGATCACTTATGGATAAAGCTGGGGGGAGGAGAGAAAGAGAACTCTGTGAGTTATCTGCTGGATTAAAAACATTGCTCATAAATACAGTAAATTGCTTACATAATTTTGTAATTTAAGGATTTATCTTCCAAGAGTTGCTTGTAGGTGAGTACATCGAACTTTCGGAACTTTATGAGTCTGTTCTAATTCCACTACCTTTAGTCTTTTGTAATGGAGCCAGTTATTGAAAAGCCTCTTATTTCTGGTAACTGTGACTTTTTGGCTGATACGTATGTGACACAAGTCTGCTCTAGATTGCGTTGTATAGAGAGATAAGAAGCATAGCTGAGATTCTTGGAAATGTTTTACATTTATAATGCTTTCAGAAAAGTAGTTCAAATGGCGGAAGATAGAGGACAACACTATGTGAATTATTCTTCAGCCTCTATATTTCTGATTCAGATGTAGAGTATAATCAAGTCAGGATACATTTTAAGGCATAATATATTGATACTAATTTTTGCTTCTGTGTACAATGGACCCAATGGGAATTATGAGAGGAAGAAGGAAAGTTCTGCACATTTGGCCAGTTTTTATCCCTATGGAATCTATATTTCTTCTTATAATGTAACAGTGCTTCTTAGAGTGTGCTCTGGTTCAGAACATAGCTTAGTCATTAATCTAGTTATTTAGTTTTCTTCCCACTCTTTGGGAGCTGTCACCTTTTACTTTAGACTGAACAATTGGTAGGTATTTATCCAGAAGGTGTTGGCATTTGCTGATTTTTAAAAAACGTCATTCATTCATTTTGACTTATTCAGAAGGGTAGAGGTTAGAATAACTTGATGGTGTTGCTAAGAATGCAAAGTCCTATACCTCATTCCTGGAGGGCTGGATTTATTAAAGCCAGGAGCAGAGGCTCGCTCCTGTAATCCCAGCACTTTGGGAGGCTGAGGCTGGAGGATCGCTTGAGCTCAGGAATTTGAGACCAGCCTGGGCAACATGGTGAACCCCATCTCTACAAAATATAAAAATATTAGCTGGACATGGTGGTGAATGCCTGTGGTCCCAGCTACTGGGGAGGCTGAGGTGAAAGGATCAATTGAGCTTGGGAGGTGGAGGTTGGAGTGAGCTTAGATGGTGCCACTGCACTCCAGTCTGGGTGACAGAGTGAGACCTTGTCTTAAAAGAAAAAAAAGCGGGGATGGGATTCAGAAAGTACCCCATTTTTAATAAACCCTCCTCCTCCTGGTGTTTCTGACATAGGGGTTCCTTGGACCACATTTTCATAAAATCTGGTCAAATTTTTAAGAATACAAGGGTGATTTAAAATGTATCTTTTTGAAACTATTTTGTAAATATTGCTAAATTAATACATGTTTATTATAAGACGAACACTATAAAACAGTGTAAAACTTTCTTTAGTGGAATTTCATTGTTCTTTCTCCTCTCTTAATTCTGAGAATTACTGCCAAGTTTATTGTACATGTAGCCAGACTAAAAAAAAAATACACATACAATTAATGTGTGCGTATATCTAATACTTGATTTATTTTAAATAAACCACATTTTATATGAACTATGCATAAATAATTGATTTTTTTCCATCTATCTTTTTGAAGTTGATACTAGCATACTTTGCCTATTGTTTTTTAAATACATGTTTGGTATTTTAAAAAATACACTTTATTTTTTCAGAGCCATTTTAGGTTCACAGCAAAACCGAGTGGAAAGTATTAGAGTTCCTATATAACCCTGCCTCAGCACATGTACAGCCTCCTCCACTGTCAGTGTCGCCCACCAGAATATGTTTGTTAAATGGATGAATCTATATTGACACATCATTATCACATAAGTTCATTTACATAGGATTCACTCCTATGTAATTTTAGGGATTTTGACAAATGCATTGTGAAATGTATTTACCATTACAGCATCATCCATAAAATCATACATCATTTTATTGCCTTAAAACTCTTTGCTTGCCTATTTGACCCTCCTTCCACCCTGGCAACCACTGATCTTTTTTTACTCACTTCATAGTTTTGCCTTTTTCAGAATATCATAGAGTTATAATCATATAGTATGCACATTCGTTTTCAGCTCCTTTGGACAAATACCAAGGAACACAATTGCTTGATCATAATGGTAAGAGTATTTTTAGTTTTGTAAGAAACTGCCCAATCCCAACTGTCTTCCAAAATTGTTGTTCAATTTTGCATTACCAGTAATGAATGAGAGTTCCTGTTGTTCCACATCCTTGCTGACTTTGGGTGATAAGTGTTTGGGTTTTAGCTATTCTAAAAAGTATCTAGTGTTATACAGTTTTTATAATTTGTAATTTCCTAATGATATATGATGTTGAGCATCTTCATATACTCACTTGCCATCTGGTTATCTTTGGTGAGGTTTATGTTTAGATCTTTTGCCCATTTTTAAAATTGAGTTTTTAATTTTTGTGTTGAATTTTAAGAATTCTTTGTTTACTTTGGATAACAGTTCTCTATCAGATATGTATTTTGTAAATATTTTCTGCCAGTCTGTGGCTTGTATTCTCTCTCTTTCAAGTGTCTTTGGCAGATTAGTTTTAAAAAAATTTTAATGAAATCTAATTTATCAATTTTTTCTTTCATTGATTCTGCCTTTGTTATGGTATCTAGAAACTCATCATCAAAACTCAAAGTCATCTATATTTTCTCTTATATTTTCTTTTAGGAGTTTTATAGTTTTTTTTTTATTTTACTTTTAAGCCATGGATTCATTTTGAGTTAAATTTTGTGAAGGATGTCATGTCTGTGTCTAAATTTTTTTTTTTAATTTTTGCTTGTGGATATCCATTTCTTCTAGCATCATTTATCAAAAAGATTATCCTTTCCCCATTTTATTCTTTCTCTTTTGTCAAAGATCAGTTGACTGTATTTTGTCTATTGTTTTTTAATCTTTAATCTTCCTCAGATACTAGTTCTGCAAAACTAGAAAATGGATATAAGATGATTTCCTTAGCAGTTCCCTCATTGAAGGGTAACTAGGCTATTTCAGTTGTGTTCCATTTCTCCTGATTTCCCACCCTATCTCTCTGGCTTCATGTGCCCATGCCTTATAAACTTTATAATTCCTTACGGCTTTCCATGGCCCATCTCTCTTCTTTCTATTAGTGGCCTCTCCTCTATTTCCATGACTTTAAGAAATACCTATACATATGATAACTCCTTGAAACTTTACATCTGTCTAAACCTCTTCTCTTAGCTTTAGTTTTATGTAGTCATCTCTCTTATTGATTATTTGTTTTGGCTATCTCAGTTATATCGAACTTAACATGTTTGAAGTTGTACTGCTGAAAGATATTCTTCTCTCAGCCTTCCTCAGATCAGTAAATGGTCCCACCACCCATTCAAGGCCCCATATGGAGACTTGGTAATCAATTTGATTGCATTCTTTCCAAAATTTCCTCTACTTTTCCCAATATAATGCATTAGTAGATTATATCTGAATGATATATTTCATATTTGCCCCATCTTTCCATTACCACTGCCACCATCCCAGTTGAGGCCACTATCAACTCTTGATTAGACCATTGCAATATACTCCTCATTGATCTTTTACTTTTTTTTTAATAGATATATTTTTTTAAATTTATTGCATTTTAGGTTTTAGGGTACATGTGAAGAACATGCAAAATTGTTGCATAGGTACACACGTGGCAGTGTGATTTGCTGCCTTCCTCCCCATCACCTACATCTGGCATCTCTCCCCTTGCTCTCTCCCCCCAACTCCCCACCACCCACCTTCCCTCCCCTATTTCCCCCCAACAGACCCCAGTGTGTAGTGCTCCCCTCCCTGTGTCCATGTGTTCTCATTGTTCAACACCCGCCTATGAGTGGGAACATATGGTGTTTGATCTTCTGCTCTTCTGTCAGTTTGCTGAGAATGATGGTTTCCAGGTTCATCCATGTCCCTACAAAGGACACAAACTCACCGTTTTTGATGGCTGCATAATATTCCATGGTGCATATGTGCCACATTTTCCTTGTCCAGTCTATCATCGATGGGCATTTGGGTTGGTTCCAGGTCTTTGCTATTGCAAGCAGTGCTGCAATGAACATTCGTGTGCACGTGTCCTTATAGTAGAATGATTTATAATCCTTTGGATATATACCCAGTATCGGGATTGCTGGGTCAAATGGAATTTCTGTTTCTAGGTACTTGAAGAATCGCCACACTGCCTTCCACAATGGTTGAACTAATTCGTTCATATCCATTTTATATATCTGCCAGAGAAACCTTTTTAAAACATCAATTCATTGCCCTCTTTAAACCCTTCAGGGATTTTACTTAGAATAAAATGTGGATTCTTTACCATGGCCTCTGAAGCTTTGCATGATTTGACCTCCTATTAAATTCCCAACTTTATCCCTTCCTCATGCCTTTCATGCATCATTGCGCATATTGTGCACTGCATAACCCCAAGGGGAAGTCGTCACATTGTAATCTATGTGAATAGTGTTCCCTGAAGATGTTCAATGAATAACCTATATGGAAATATGATGCTACTGTCTGTACACTTTCCTCCTGTTCTTTAAACTTCAGATGCACTGGCTTTTACTACTGGATTTGTCATAGTTTGATCATCTTAGATTACCTAACCACTGCCATATTGACAGACACTTGAGTTGCTTAAAATTGTTTTGTTATTACTAATACTGATACAAAAAACATACTTGATTTTATCTCCATGCAAACGTGAGAAAGTTTCTCATGTGCAAACGTGAGAAATGGAATTGCAGCGTGATGGTCTGTGTTCATTTTTAGAGTTAATAGATGCCACCAAACTGCCCTCGAAAGTGTCCGCATTAATTTATACTCCAACCAGCAGAGGATGACAGAATATCCTTATCTATGTCCTCAATCACACTTGAGATTATTAAAATTTTAAGTTTTAGCAATCATAGATTTTCATTTTATTTTAATTTGCATTTTGCAGATTACAAGTGAAGCTGAGTTTCTTGTGTGAATATTGGCCTTTTGTGTTTTTCTGTGAC